GACTGGAGAGGGAGGGGGAGAGGAGTGGGGGGAGGGGGAGAGGAGAGGGAGGAGGGGGGAAAAGGGAGACGGGGAGGGAAATGGGAGGCGGGGAGGAGGCGGAAATCTTTTTTTTTTCAATAAAAAAAATTATATTTAAAAAAAATTATTTGAAACACAGCAGAATTCTAAGCATTTCTGTGTTTTATTTATATTTCTTCCAGAATGGCATAGAGTTGTTATTACACATTTGTTAAATTAGATATGAGTATTGTGTTTTTCATTAGGGTAGGAGAAAAATCAATGCTGGAGCAATGTGACAACTGATATTTTTCATAATATGCCACAATGGAGCAGAGTCTGTGAAGTTTAGAACCAAAGGACTGTCTCATGCTTGCTTCTTTCCATTCTATCAGCTGCCTCAGATCATGAGGAATAAACACCGCTGTGTTATTATAATCCAAATGTTGTTATTGTGTCTCTGAAAATAAATTATGGAGGACTGATAGCAATTTGTCTCATTCAGGCAACATTTTACAGTGTTCTAATTTCTCTTAACAATTAGACAAGCTTTACTTCCTTACTTCAGTAATGAATAAAGAGCTGTAATGCACAAGTTTTCAGATTATCATAGACACAGTCTTACAGAGGAAATGAATTAATTACTGTATACTTTATTTCCTTAACTTCGACATGATCTATAATAACATTGAATTATACTTAATATTCTATAATTAAAAATCAGCCAGAGCTATATTGTCTTTGTTTTGTGATATTTCTAGTCTTTCATACAATGAATATGGCTGCCCTGAACTTTTTCAGGTTTGGGAGCCACAGCCATGTGAATTCATCTCTGCAACAGTATTGTTACGTCCAAAAAATACTTTGCTGTAGATGTCCAGTACCTCTCTTCTTGCAATCTCTCATCCCCTTCTTCTCTGCTCACCCCTGAGCTTTGAAGGGAGGGAGTGTTATACAGACACTGAATTTATAGTAGCGCTTCACAGTCTCTTGTTCTCTCACCATAACCAGTTGAGAGTCTCAATTAATCTCCATTTACTACAAAAGGAAGGCTCTCTGATAAGGACTGAGAGGTGCACTAATATATGAGTATAATGTTTGACAACATGTTCATTTAGCTGAGAAATAGTATCAGGGCATGCCTTAGGGTTATGCATTAGTCTCTCGTGGGTTATTGGTCCAGTAAGCAGTAGTTGTCTTCTGAAGCAGACTTTTAATCAAATCAGAGAGTGTTTGGTTTATACCAGAACATTCATGCCATTATTTAGAAAAGAAAGTAATTTCCTGTACACTATAAGCTTACAATTTCTTTCTGCTCTTTTATTTAAATTTCTTGTGACAAACAGTATTATCTTATTTTTTTTACAGAGAAGAAATATAATTTGCAAATGATTAGCTTTCTGCTAACTAAAATATTTCTTAACACTAAATATTCAATGGGTATTAATGATTTTCTTGATTCTGAGGAAACAACATTTAGTTTTTAATCAAATTTTTATAGATAGAATTACTTTGGATAACCAAAAAATTAAGTTGGAGTTAGTTCAATAAAATTCATGAAATGGAGAACAAGTAAAGAATTGTATTTGTACTATACTTTTTCAGTGATCTGATCTTTTTTTTTTCCAACTCACAATGATCTTTATTTCCAGTTACAGAGGAGCCAATAGCTTCTTATGGCCTCTGTGGACACCAGACACACAAGTGGTACACAGATTCACACATGCAGACAACACACTTTTTATTTTTTTCCTCTTTACTGTCACCTATTGTACTTTATCCCTCAGTCTCATTGGATTATTTCTTCTTAGTATGAACAGAATAAAATGAGAAACTCCAGGTGGAGTTTCTTTTACTTTTGTATGTTAAATATACAAAACATCTTCTAACTATATCACCTTTTCTTTTATTATTTAAATTAATAGATAAAAATCACAAATGCAGTGGTAGAGAAAGAGAGGAGAGAGAGAAAAGAAGAGAAGAGACAGAGAGAGAGAGAGAGAGAGAGAGAGAGAGAGAGAGAGAGAGAGCAAGAAAGAGGGAAGATTTGTTTACACATGTTAGGGAGAGGTTTTGTCCTCATAGGTGAATAAACTCACAACATCAAATTAAGATTATTCTCTTGAGAATTAAAGAACATTTAAATTGTACCTCTAAAGCTGTTTTTAGACACTTAGGGGATTAACCAAGAAAATATATCATAAATCTTACTACATTGTATGATGCACAGTAAATCAATATTTGCAGGTAGGTTAAATTTTGTATTTGATAACTAATATATGCTTGTGTGCTTGGGTATGGCTGTATCTTATCATTATGGGAAAATATATTGTCAGTTACTCCTGACAATTTTATTCATATGCCAATATATCTAGTGATTCTAAAATATCCACTATTATATGTGAATTCTAATGTATTTGTGAGAAGCAAGTAAATAATGGTTTAAAGCCAAATATTGAGGCAATTTTGTCATGATATTCCAAACATAGAAATTCTGGATGGTAGGTCATACTGGCATTAAGAATCTGTGCTTTCTCTAGTAGATAGTCTTATAAATGGGTTAGAATATAAGAACATTTTACACAAGCAAGAAAATCACACTATAAAGATGGATTTATTACAGACATTTGAATATCTTTTAGGCTGTTCAAATACTCCCTCTCAGAAAGGGATTTTATTCCATCTGAAATCTTTCTTCCTTTGCTTTTTTAATATCATAACTTGTTTTCATTTGACAATATGGTACATAGGGTTATGTATGAATTAGTATCTATTCCTTTTGATCTGCACAATACACTATGGGAGGACACAGGATATGGGATTGGTATGTAAAATGAGAAAAGATATTTTTTAAAAAAATAATTAATAAAATAAGTTTTCAAGGGTACCCAGATATTGTCAATTTCTTTCTGTAACCCCCCAGGTTATTGAGCGTTCAAGCAACTAGCACCATGGTATGTTGAAAAATTTCTTAGATTATGAAAGATTATCATAATTTTTTAAGACAAATTTCAGAACTTCATGTACTCTTCATTCTCTTATTGACCATTGTGGGTTGTAAGTAACATGATGCATTGGATGTTGATATTTTATTTATTTTATTCTGACTTCAAATGCACAGGATATGGCAGCTTCAATTACTGGAAACAAATATTTCTTCATTCGCTTGAGAGAAATGAAAAAGTGATGTGACTTTAAAACGTTTTTCTTAAATATTGATCTCAAATTGTTAGAAACTGTGGAAATGCATTCTACGTGGATATCACTATGAACATAGGCATACTTGCGTAAATATGCATGTGAAAGCATCTGTCTATAAGGAATATTCATACAATTGTAAGAAAGAAGAAAGACAGTGAGACCTCAGTTGTTTTTGTCTGCTTGCCTGCTGTGTGATTAAAAGGGATATAATAAAAAGAAAACCACAAACAGATAACAAAAATACAGGTTGGATATGATATGTAGATATTAAAAAGCACTTGACAAGAAAGGGAATTGTGCTGCAGTCCAACTAAAAATCAGTGAGGACTACAGCTCATCGCTAATTGCGAAGGCACTGCTCATATTTCTTGGGACTTTCAGCTTGCAAGTGTAAGAAAATGACCTCCCTAAACCATACTACTGCAGGGATAGAATTCATTCTTGTGGGACTCACAGACAGCCCGGTGCTGGGGAGGATCCTCTTCGTGGTGTTTCTGCTCATCTTTGTCGTCACACTGGCAGGGAACCTGTGCATGATCGTGCTGATCAGGACCAATTCCCACCTGCAAACGCCCATGTACTTCTTCCTTGGGCACCTCTCCTTTGTAGACATTTGCTACTCTTCCAATGTTACTCCCAACATGCTGCGCGGTTTCATCTCGGGCCAGAAGACAATCTCCTATGCTGGGTGCTTCACTCAGTGTCTCCTCTTCATTGCTCTGGTGATCACTGAATTTTATATCCTTGCTTCCATGGCACTGGACCGCTATGTGGCCATTTGCAGCCCTCTGCATTACAGTACCAGGATGTCCAAGAATGTCTGCGTGTCTCTCGTCACATTTCCTTATGTGTTTGGCTTCCTGAATGGGCTCTCTCAGACTCTGCTCACTTTCCACCTGTCTTTCTGTGGCTCCCGTGTAATCAACCACTTCTACTGCGCAGACCCTCCTCTCATCATGCTGGCTTGCTCTGACACTCATGTCAAAAAGATGGCCATGTTTGTGGTTGCTGGCTTTACTCTTTCAAGTTCTCTCAGTATCATTCTTCTCTCTTACCTTTACATTTTCGCAGCCATCTTGAGGATCCGTTCAGCTGAAGGAAGGCAAAAAGCCTTTTCTACCTGTGGCTCCCACCTGACAACAGTCACCATATTTTATGGAACCCTTTTCTGCATGTATCTGAGACCCCCATCAAAGA